TTTCTTCTTAAGTAGTCATAGGCCATTGCTTGTCTGGCAAATAAAAAATTGCTGTACTTCGTTCATGTCATGTTAATACTAGAGAAATTTGGCAGTTTTGACCCAGAGCCAAAGACCCTGTGAACCTTCCTAGAACTGCTCAGTGAACTTAACTCTACTGTCAATGTTGTCAGTGACATTAGCGATGAAGCTGAAGGAACAGAATTTTACAGAGTGGCTGTGGTGTCTGAATCATCAAAAATGTCATGAAAATATTGGTTTCTGTCCAACTCAGAAAAAAAGTGGATTTGTGTCCTTGGTGGGAAAGGGGAATAGACCTGCTTATCTGCGGAGAACAACAGAGGCTGACTGGAAAAGTTGGAATGAGTAATGAAGTAGGAAAAAAAGGCAGGGAAAGATTTCTTGTGGCAACAAGGGAATTACTGCACTGAATTGCCCGATTCCTGTATTTGTGTGACAGAGCTGAAGTTATTTGCAAAAGGGGGATAAGCTGAAAGTTTACATTTGTCTAACAGTAATTGTAAGAAAATTAGTGCCAGTTTTCATCCACAAAGATGTTACAAATATCAATATTTTATTTCCATAAGATACTACCTGTTCTATTAGAAAAAAAAAAAGTCTAGAGTTTAATTAGAGTATTTTAATTTTCAGTATTAACACAAGTTAGAACATACACATTGGTGCATACTCTTGGGTAGTCTTTGCAAATGTATATGTTTCACAACAAACCCCCTTTCTATCAGCCATTACGTACCTACCCTAAGATTAAATGCACTCATGTACTCATCACTGAGAATGTGATACACTAAAATGTATAAATTAATAACAATGAAAACATGATAAAGATGCAGCTGTGAACATATCTTTTCAGTCAGGCAGATAAATGAGATTTTGGAAGAAGCAAAGAAAAGTCAATATTTCTGTAAATTGTTGATAGAGCTGGTAGAGCATTGCTTCACTTAAGGCTTCTTTGGAAAGTGCCAGTCCATCATAACCCAAACCATTTCTGCAAAAGGATGGCTTTTGCTAAATTTCCAATTTAAAAACATTAAAATGATCCACACTACCTGTTTTAACATTTTCAAAATGATTTTATTTTTTATTTGGTTTTTCCAATCACTTTTAGCTGTGACTCCTAACAAGAGCTTCCCACACTTATTCTCTCCATATGTTTGCACATACAATAACAGCCTGCTAATAATGGGCCCATTTCAGTCACATGTGGAAGAGGGATAGAGATCTCAGTAGCTACTGCAGTCCTAGAAGCTTTGTGAAAATTAATGCCTAGAAAGAGGAAAAATCCCAGATTAGTACCTTCTAGAGAAGGTAGAAGACAGAACTCAGCTATTTTACATTTCATTGGTAACATCCAGATAGCAAATCAGCATATGAGTCTTGGACAGACAGCTAGGGAGCGCATGACTAGCTGTGGACATGTGGTCAAGGAGAGGTGTCAGAAGAGTGAGGGATGCTGGCACCTTTCAGATGGCAGATCCCAGGAACAAAGGACACATGTGTAGAACAGGTTTTATTAAAGACGATGCTCATGGACCAACAGGTTTACATTTTGCTTAGTTCAGCCGTAAAGTTATACTGGCTGAGAGTTTGAAACAAACAAAAGTCAGTCCTTCCTTCATTCAGCAACTAATGGTGTTGTAAAGCTCTTGCTAGCAGGAGGCTGCCGTGGCCAAAAGTATGACTGCATTTAGAAATGGATTGGATAGATGAATAAAGGTCCCTCAACGCCTCCAAATGTGATGTTGCAAATAGAGCCTCTGGTTTTGATAGGCATTTTGACTGAATGAAAAAATTTCAGAGGCTGAAATGGAAAATTACTCTACATGTTTCCAACATCCTTTTCTTGAAAATCTATCCCCACACTTTGTCAGGTCAACTAGACAGAGACAGAGTAACTCTTGGTTTGACCCAATATGGCTACCGTCGTGTTGTTAAAGGGAGAATAGAGAAGTTAGAGAGGAAAGATATTTTCAAAGTCTCAGCTAGACCCTAAATCAGTGTTTCCAATGTGAGGTCTATAGACTAAGGATTCCTTTAGTCTTAGATCATGGCTGGGTACCTGAGAGAGTGTGGGAAAGAGAGGAAACTGGGGTAGAAGACAGCATCTCCACTCAGTAAGATCACTCTGCCCTCAGTGGAAGAGTCTTGATAGGATGGGGAGATGGGAGGAATGACACCAGCAATAGGAGCAGTAATCCTGTGCTACTTGGTCATCCCCTCAGCCTTCCTCATAAGAGAAGGAAATAAAAAGAGAGAAAGAAGAGAGGTGCCTAAAGCTGGAAGAGAAGGGGCAAGAGTGAGGTCAGGAGCTGGCTTGGAAAGACAGGTGTTATGGACATATGGGATATGTTTTAAGTGGTAAAGTCATACATTAAAGGGACCTTTGTCAGAAATGTCTGAAAAAGAACCATCCAAAATCAAAAGGTAGATGGAGAGGGGGTGAACACAGACATCTGAGGGACATCATTGTGCTCTACTGTTCCCCAAAGAGAATGAAACACAGCTCCTTGTTCAGTCTAGAGAAAAGAAGGCTGCGGGGAGACCTGATTGCGGCCTTTCAGTACCTAAAGGGGGCCTATAGGAAAGAGGGGGAAAACCTTTTTAGTAGGGCCAGCTGCGTTAGGACAAGGGGTAATGGTTTTAAACTAAATCGGGGTAGGTTTAGGCTAGATATAAGGAAAAAATTCTTTACAATGAGGGTGGTAAACCACTGGAACAGGTTGCCCAGAGAGGTAGTGGAGGCCCCATCCCTGGAAACATTCAAGGCCAGGTTGGATGGGGCTCTGAGCAACCTGATCTAGTTGGCGGTGTCCCTGCTGACTGCAGGGGGGTTGGACTCGATGACCTCTAGTGGTCCCTTCCAACCCAAAACATTCTATGATTCTATGATTCCTATACCGTTAAATTAAGCCATGCCAGGACATGGGCACTGGAAGTGGTGACCAGCCAGCCTGGTCTGTACCCTGCAAGGTACTTACACACTTGCTTTCAGCACAATATAAAATTGCATCTAAGTCATTGGATTCTGCTGTTTTACTCAGCCCAAGGAGCCAATTCTTTCTGCTTGATGGTCCAAAAGTGACAGTGAGCAAGACAGCTGTGCCTTGAGAATTTGAACAGACTCTCCCTAAACTTGCCAGGGAATTCAAGGTCCCCCCTGAACCAAGATGCTGATTCATTTCCACCCAGGCTTTTTGCTAACTGCAACACTTCTGTAATACTGTATGTTTATCTTTCACCGGGGACACTGGTTTGCAGTAAAACAGGTAACATTCACAGAACTTGACAGTTTATGCTGTAATTTTCCCTGTCTACAATGGCTGTCAGGAGTCTGCTTTGGGCAACATAAGCAGCTGTATGTATCCAAACAATTTAAATCAAAAGACAAACTCAACAGACTTTTTGTTCACTATTACACACTTCATTATTTGCAAGTCTCCTGTTGTCAGATTTCTGGGTTTGTTACAAGAAAATTACCTTTGTGCATGCTTTGTTGCATTCAATTCTTCTACTGCAGAGAGCAAAGGCACACTACAGAGACAGGAGCATCTGCAGTCTGCTTCTACCTCTTTCTCTGTTCAGTAGTGCGTTTCCTTATATTGTCCAGAATTTTGTCAGGGCTTGATCCCAAATGCAGAGAACTTTCCACTTCCTCATCCAAACCAGAATATGTGTTTTTAATTTTTGATGAAAAATTTTCTTTGAAAACCAAACCCTTTGGGCTGGGTTTTTTTTAATGTTAGTTTTTATATTGTGCCCCAAACTGAAATTCTCTAATGGGAAATAAAAAAATATGTGTGTGTTTATTCAACATATAAATTACATGAATAGGTATACATAATTAATATCTTTTACTAGTTAAAACTTTTCCAGTAAGATTAGCTTTGACTTTACCATTCGGACCCAAACAGATGTAGACTTCCTGGGCTGTGACTGTGATGAGGAAAATGAAAGTAAGTCTGTATTAAGCTTTAATTTATTAAAAAATCATACCCCTAAAATACTTCTCAGGATGGAGTACAAAGTACAAAATTTTCTTTGAAAACCAAACCCTTTGGGCCCTAAAATACTTCTCAGGATGGAGTACAAAGTAAGAACCTGTCATGGAGCACCGATCACATGTGGCTCTTTTCTGAGTGTCTTCTCATGGAGCTAAGGGAATTCCTTCTCCCCAGGAGGAGCTCTGGGAAGCTGAGAGAGAAAAAAGAGGGACAGAGAGAGACATAATAATGAAAAAAAAACCCAACATGTTTGCTAGACAATTTATGTGGACCAGTGAGATAGCCAGTACTGTGTTCTCCATCATTACCACCAGCATGTCAACTTTCATATAGGGTGGAAACTTATGTACTACCACTGAGAAGTTCCAGTTTCACTCAGTAGGTAAACAACCATTGCACAAATTATTCTGGTTATTTGTACTTAATGGCAATATATTTTTTCCTTTGTCCAGCATGAAGAACCAAGGTGTCCCTTTCTTGGCCACACCTCCTCATTTCTCAGATAATGTCTTTAATTAGTACTCTCTGGTAGAAAATGTCGTTACTTGCATTTGTAAGCATTTCAAACAGAGTACCTTAAACACTGAAAGATGTAGTAGGATGCCACAAGGAATTTCAAGAATGAACCCCAGACTCGAACTTAACTTAGTTTTCTCCTTTGTCCCATATAGGCAGACCATTTGGGAACTTATTGAAATGTCCATTAAAATCAATAACTGTCTTTTAAAGCATATTTCATAATTTCATTTCTGAGCATGGAAGGTCTCAGAATATCAGGCTGTTAATTTAAGCACCTACATATGAATTCTGGTATCTAGCTTTAGACAGACACTTCACAATTTTCCATTTGTTTAACTGATGACAAAATCGTAATGAAGTTTAGTTGACAAAATTTTTTGCCTGCTGGAGAATGAAAAACCTGGGGGATAATGGGACCCCCTTTATGTATGGACATGTATATACTTTGTTTTCTCATTTCAGGTCATGGAACCAAAGGAGTGTTTGAACTTCTTTCAGGATGGCGTCGAACCAGAGAGAATCTGCCATTCAAGGACAGAGTAGCAGATGCCTACTCAGATGTCATGGTCTCCTATACAATGACAAGCTCCTTGTATTTCATAGCCTTCGGCATGGGGGCAAGCCCTTTCACCAACATTGAAGCTGTAAAAGTCTTTTGCCAGAACATGTGTGTCTCCATCCTGTTGAATTACTTCTATATCTTCTCCTTCTTTGGTTCCTGCCTGGTCTTTGCTGGCCAGTTGGAGCAGAACCGTTATCACAGCATCTTCTGCTGTAAAATTCCTTCAGCAGAATACCTGGACCGGAAACCTGTGTGGTTCCAGACCATGATGAACGACGGCCATCAGCATACTTCTCATCATGAGACCAACCCATATCAGCATCACTTCATCCAACATTTCCTCCGAGAGCATTACAATGAGTGGATTACCAATATCTATGTCAAGCCATTTGTGGTGATACTGTATCTCATCTATGCCTCTTTCTCCTTTATGGGGTGCTTACAGATTAATGATGGAGCCAACATTATCAACCTTCTTGCCAGCGAGTCTCCAAGTGTCTCCTATGCCCTCATACAGCAAAAGTATTTCAGCAACTACAGCCCAGTGATAGGTTTCTATATTTACGAACCTCTGGAATACTGGAACGGCACTGTGCAAGAAGACCTAAAAACACTAAGCCAGGGGTTCAATACAGTGTCCTGGATTGAGCAGTATTACCAGTACCTTCGAGTGGGTAACATCAGTGCAACCAACAAAAGTGACTTTATCAGCATCCTCCAGAGCTCCTTTTTAAAAAAGCCAGAATTCCAGCACTTCAAAAATGACATCATTTTCTCCAAAGCTGGAGATGAAAACAACATAATTGCTTCTCGTTTGTACCTGGTGGCCAGGACTAGTGAAAACACACAGAGGGAGGCGGTAGAATTGTTGGAGAAGCTGAGGCCACTCTCTCTTATACAGAGCATCAAGTTCATTGTGTTCAATCCTACCTTTGTTTTCATGGACCACTACGGTTTATCAGTAACTATGCCTGTCCTGATTTCTGGTTTTGGCATCCTGCTGGTGTTAATACTGACCTTTTTCCTGGTTATCCATCCTCTGGGAAATTTCTGGTTAATTCTCAGTGTCACCTCGATAGAGCTGGGTGTCCTTGGCTTGATGACCTTATGGAATGTAGACATGGATTGCATTTCTATACTGTGCCTTATCTACACTTTGAATTTTGCCATAGATCACTGTGCACCCCTGCTTTATACATTTGTACTAGCTACTGAGCACACCCGAACTCAGTGTATAAAGAACTCCCTCCAAGAGCATGGGACAGCCATTTTGCAGAACGTTTCTTCTTTTCTTATTGGGTTGGTCCCCCTTCTCTTTGTGCCTTCAAACTTGACCTTCACACTGTTCAAATGCTTGCTGCTTGCCGGCAGTTGCACACTTCTGCACTGTTTTGTTATTTTGCCTGTCTTTCTAACCTTTTTCCCACCTTCCAAAAAGCACCACAAGAAAAAGAAACGGGCCAGAAGGAAGGAACGAGAAGAGATCGAATGCATAGAGATTCAGGAGAATCCTGATCATGTTACAGCAGTCTGAAAGGCTTAGAAAAAAATAATAGTATATTCTCTTTTTAAAAAAGCGTTGCACAGAGATGCAGGGAAAATAGAGCAAAGATCTCAGCTGCTTGTGCTGGCCAGGTCTGACAAGGCAAAGGAAGATCAAGAAGGGGTATTCATGACACACCAAGGTGCAAACTTTTTTAACAAAAATAACGAAAGTAAAAATAATCTCAAATGTTTCCTTTGAATCCTCATTCTCCACCAGGGAAGAGTCTGTTGGCCATTAGTGTTCCTGAATCTCAATCTGTAGCTCTAATGAGAATTGCTTGATCTGTCATATGTAGGACTGAAGCAAAGGTGAAAAAAAGAGTTACTGTTAAGTACAGTAGGGAAAAAGGCAGATTTGTCCATGGAAAAGAAAAAAACCAACAACAACATTTCAAATGAGAAAAGGGAAGAAGACCAAGAGAGATAAAAAAACGCCATGGTATTTTTTTCTTATTTTCTTGAACAAGTTGGTTAAGATGAAACCTATGCACTTGGGAAGTAGATGTTTAATACAATCTAAGCCAAAGTACTTCCCAATTCTAGTATACCATGTATATCTGTAACACCACAATTAGAGTGTTATTATGAATATGGATGGCAAAAATATCCTGCTAAGGGATAGAGGTACTGTTCGTATAGGAGAAGAAATAATCATAGCCATTCGGAAGTTTAACAGTTTCTTTAAATGTGACACACGACTTTTATCCCAAGAGGTCACAGCTCGTAATTAATACCGTACATACATTTTGGTATTTCTGAATTGTGAAGTTCCCCTTGAACTAACAGATCTCACGAAACTACCCCAGGCCATTACCACTGCAGCAGCATTTGCAGTTCCTGCAGTGTAACACTTCTGAATTTTAATTTCTCAGTGTTGACATTAAATACTGAATATTAATCAAGCAGGCACTTTAAACGTAATGATGGATTGTATATCACAGGCATAATGTGATCATGTAACAGCTGAGTCAGCTCTGGAACACCCGCACAGTGTTACCATTATATATCTGGTCCAATGGACGGAGGGATATGTTTGCTGGTCCCTGCAATATGCTGCAGGAAGCGGGATTTTCCCCTTCTTTAAGCAAAACATCAGTCAAATACTTGCCACACACAGGAAAAAAAACCACCTTGTTACAGTTTGCACGGGGCTGAATCAACCCCTAGTTGTAAAAGGACAGATCAGTCCCCCATGGGAAGGGGAGGGTGAAATGTCTTTATTATTATTACTCCTAAATATTTGAGCGTTGATTGTCTGCAACATAAAGCTTTGTTATGGCAGTTGAAATTTCACGGGAGAGTGCAGTAAATCTGCAGTTACTACGTGACACTAGAAATCGTACTGTGAAGAACTATGAATTACTTTCTCTGCTTTGTAAACTATACAGCTTAGTAGCCCAAGAGAAGGGATGAAAACAGATCTAGCCATTTCAGTTTGCTCTTGGCCCAGTTCTGTGCTAGAGCTTGCCATGTCCATCCCCCTTATCAGTATTTTAAAAGGGCTTGCTTTCTACTCTCTGGAGTATGGTATAGAATCACCTACATGAGCAACGTCTTCCTGAATATATAGTATCCATGAGGACACTATGTAAATTTATCACTATATGGAGTGTTTATGTCTACTTAGTATTACTTGTGGGTACCTTTAAAAGATGTCTGGAAGCTGTTTGCCTTCCAAAATGTGTATACATGTCTATTTGTGGCTGGTTAACTCGGTCTCAAACCTGCAGAGTTTGCTGATGAGGGTGTGTACATATGTTTCACTAAAAAGCTCTCTGCAAGAAGTTGATTCTTTGTTCTGTGACATCTCGCACCTCTTCCTACTGTTTTGTGGTTAGGGAGAGCCAGAGAAAAATCACCTGCAGCACAAAAAGCCATTTGAACATCAGTTCTAATATTCATTATCTGCTTCTGTTTCTGGGGAATGCAGTTTTGTCCCTTCTCTATACTTTCTGTACTTTGCCACTACCATTTGCCAAAAATGACCTCTGTGTTTTAGGAGTGGTCAGAGCTCTTGATTGTTCAAGGGACCTTTTGCGTGCAACAGATTTTAGAGAAAGATACATTTTCTAGATAGGTAAAGCTTCCAAAGTTTGAATCCAGATCTAAACTTCAGGTGTAGTGAGATCAGGGTTACTGGTTTGATCCAAGATATTCAAGGGCCAGCTGTAAAACTGAGATCTAAATAGTTCCGTAAGATTTAGGAGCAGGGGATGTTTTAATGTTGGGTTATGGCTCAGATGCGTCTCTAGTTGAGAAGTATTTACTGACCTCGATGTGCATCTTGAAAACATTGTGCAATACCCATTTTTTTTAGAACAGTCAGCTGTGAATGTCAAGCTTTCCGTACCTTCTTACATTCCCTCCTCTGTCCATACAAAACCTGGATTACTACAGCACAGCTGTGACCCTCGGGTATCACTTCTGGAATTGTCACAGGGGAAGTTGCTGGTCTTCTCTTACACTGCCCAGATGTGTCCCAGGGATCACTATCATGCATTGTATTGAAGATAGTAGAGTTTTTCAAAGCCATTAAAGCCAGGATTCATCTCATCTAACTTTGGATGTTGACAATGTGTTTATATCTGATCTCCCTTTATGGCCATAGGAGAGGGACAGACACTTCTGACCCATTTTACAGCTGTGCATTAGGAGTAAACGCATTAGGAGTACATGAATCAAACCTTTACAAACGCATATTTTTGTCCATTGGTGATAAAGGAAGCTCAGCATGATTAGTTCAGACACAGATATCGGCAGTGCAGGCTCATCCAGATTTGGTGAGATTAACCCCACTTAAAATGACCAAATATCAAGTGAAAGAGAAAAGAAGAAAACATTAAAAACTTGCTTCCCAAGTATCTATTTTAGGGATAAATCCCAGGAGTAACTCAGTTCAAATTTTGTGTTTGGCTTATGAGGTTTTTATGCAGAACAAATAATTTAAAAATTGCCACTGGAATTCCCCTAGCAGAGAATGATGAGCTAAGAAATCAGATGTCAATATTGAAGGTGGGCTCACACAAATGAGCTAGAGTTTGATGAGATGTCAAACCAGCTTCTCTCTCAATATCATGCAGTAGCACTTGTATATACCAGACCCAAGATAGATGGATTGCACTCTGGGACTAGAAGTTTTTTATTTCTATGTCATTGTGGGACTGAAACAGAAAACAAGCCAGATATTCCATGGATGTCCTTTTATTGCTTTATTTATCAACCATTTTCCAGATCCACCAAGAAAGGCCGTTGCAGCTGTTACTCCTGCAGATACATCGGTCTCTGTGGAACAAGGAAAACTTTCATCTCAAGCTAAAAAAAAAGATTATTTTCTTCTGTAATTCAGTTCACACTGGAAACATTTGGGGTGGGGAGTCCATATTTTTTAATTCCTTCTCCTTTTATTGCTTATTTTGCTTTCAGTCCTTTTCAGTACATCCTGTCCTTTTCTGCAGCACCTGTTCAGCTCAACTGGAGCTACATTAGTACCTGTGAGGAAAGGACATAGCCCATGCAAAGCAATTTGACACTCTGATACATGCTGCATATTGGATCTTCATTATCCACCTTTTTCCCAGTTACCATAAGCCCCCTGGGATATTGAGCATATTCCTTTAATGTCTGGTTTCACATATGGGCTACATAAGCTGCCAAGAACCCTGTGTGCGTTTGCTACTTGGTTTGGTTTCATTCCCTCAAAGTATATTGGTTTGAATTCATTGTTGAGATAACTCTGTTGAAGTCAACAGATTTATGGCCATGATATATCTGGCTTTGCATGCTTTCTGTCTGGTAAGAAGTGAAATAATGACAAATGAACCTCTTACATTGTTGATATGCTTGTTGAACAATATATCTGTCTATACTCTACAGCCATTGTTGCATGCTGCATTCATGAGGCTGCAGTGAAGATATATTTTCTTTCTATTATTTTTTATTTACACTTTCCCATGCAGGATACTTTAACCTTAATTAATCTATTCCTCTGCCTTTTTTATTAGAGTTAATTCTTCACCTCTGTAGTCCAGTACTTGATGTTTCATAAATTTATTGCCTAACAAAGCAACACACTTTTTATGGCCAAGACAGGTATGGATGCATGGCACCTTGCATGTATAATTTTAAAAGATTATCTTCAGGGTTATTGTTCTTAACCTTTTACTTCAAACAATTCCTATTTAGGATGTAATCTGCCACATGCTAATATCTATTTCAGTTCACTTGAACAACCCTAGTTTTGAAATTTTTTCCAAGGGGAAGAAAAAGAACCAGGGGGAAAAGAAGAAACATGAAGTAAAGTAGTTGTGTAATCAGTGTTCTTTTTTTCCCAAAAGGCTCTAACTGCTCTACTCTTAATTAAGTTACACTGAGTAGTGACTCTAGCATAATTAAGATTTATTTCAATGGAGTTACTCCATATTTCACTATGACAAGAGCTTGGCTTATTGTCTTTATGCGAGTACCATGCTAAGTCTCTTTGATTAATTTTTCTGTAATTATAAACTTTAATAAGTTCTTTTTCATTGCAACACTAGGTTTTTGAGTACCTCCAGCTCTCATTTGATGTCCTAGGAAACACTGAAATGAAGCAAAGTTAGGCAGTTAGTGAGCAAGAGACATGTTGTAGTGTTGGGGAAAAGGGATACTTCACAAAGAGGCAGCATATCCTCTGACAAAGCTTTAAATAAAAAAAATATGTTAAGGCTATCTCAGAAGATTAAGGTGAAATGGAAACCAAGTGAAACATGTTGTTTGGAGGGTAGTTTAATCAAATTAGAGACAGTAAAAACTTTGATTCTCCTCCCATACCTTCTTACACAAGCAAGAAGGCATTTGAATAGGGAAGGAAACTGAATTTGGAAAGAAGCTCAGCCGTCACCTAAAGCACTACTTTCCACCACAGTCTTGCATAAAGCAATGTCACAGACCAAATCAGTGCAGATTCTCCTGCCTCAGCACGGACCTCTCCGTGACCTGTTTTCCATGTAC